TCCCCAAACTCCCACATGACAGGAACTAATTCAGGTCTTCCACCTGAGTGCTGGGATCCAAGTACTTGAGTTATCCCTTGCTGCCTCCCCAGGTGCACATTAGCAGGAGCTGGGAAGCAGAAGCAGACCTCGGACTTGAACCAAGACACTCTGATGTGAGATGCTGACATCCCAACAAAGATCTTATTTTTTTACAATGAATATTGATTTTTGCCTTTTTTGTTTTTTATTTTTATTAACATCTGCCCCTCAAAAGTTGTCACTTTAACTTCAATATTGTAAGACATGATTTATTCAAAATACCAGTTAACTGCATACTGTTTTGTTTGCTACACTACAAGTAGTTTTCTTGGGCCATTATTTTTTTTTAAGATTTATTTATTTATTTGAAAGGCAGAGTTACAAAGAGGCAGACACACACACACACACACACACACAGAGACAGAGAGAGAGAGAGAGAGATCTTCCATCGCTAGTTCACTCCCCAAATGGCTGCAATGGTGGAGCTGGGTCGATTCAAAATCAGGAACCAGAAGCCTTCTATGGGTCTCCCATGCAAGTGCAGAGGCCCAATGACTTGGGCCATCTTCTACTGCTTTCCCAGGCCATAGCAGAGAGCCGAATCGGAAGTGGAGCAGCCAGGTCTCGAACCAGCGTCCATAAGGGATGCCAGCACTGCAGATGCACTATGCCACAGCGACGGCCCCTGGGCCATTATTTTTATAAGAAGAACAAGTAGGCTTATGACATAGAAATTTCCAGTTCTCGTCTTTGGTGTACTCTTCACTGTCTTATGAGAAAATCTGTCTCTCTTTTTGTTAAATATTTATTTATTTATTTATCTGAAAGTCAATGTTACACAGAGAGAGGAGAGGCAGAGAGAGAGAGAGAGAGAGAAAGAGAGTGAGAGAGAGAGACGTCCTCCATCTGATGATTCACTCCCCAACTGACCACAATGTCCAGAGCTGTGCTGATCGGAAGCCAGGAGCCAGGAGATTCTTTCAAGTCTCCCACACAGGTACAGGGCCCAAGGACTTGGGCCATCTTTACTGCTCTCCTAGGCCACAGCAGATAGCTGGATTGGAAGTGGAACAGCTGGGACTCGAACCAGTTCCCATATGGGATGCTGACACTGCAGACTGTGGCTTTACCCACTATGCCACAATGCTGGCCCCCTAACTACTGATTGTATAGAAAGGAGATGGTTATGGATAATCTGAATGAGTTTTCTATGAACACCTGGTACATAATACATAAGTTTACATAGAACTTAAATCTTAATGCTGTCGTAAGAAGCTGGCCTAATAAAGGTTTTCTGATAAATTGACTAATGATTTCAACTGGACTTACATAGGAATATGCACTAGTTTTCACTCCTTTTTATTTATAATTCTCATCTTAAATTCTGAACTATTCCTCCCATCTTTTACTCCTACTTAAACAACAGCAGCAAACAACTATTAACTTGCTCACAAATGTCATGGTTTTATTAGCATAATATAGGAGATGTACCTTAGGAGACAGTTGATCCTGCTATCTCATGTTATAAAGTAGTACACATCAAATCTGTTAAAATGGGAGTTCCCACAACATAATGATCATTATATTTATAATTATTTAATTTGAAACATTGTTACTTTTTAGGTGATTGATTGGAAAGGGTAAGGCTGCTCACCCTCTTCATTATGAAAGCGTATGTGAGTGGGCACTACAGTGCGGCTGCCTAATCCAAGAAACCCCCACTCCATTTCCAAAAATAACAGAAACAGTAGATTTATGAGTAATGTTTGAAAGTATGATTTGGACTTTGTTGACACTTTGCTTAAAATCTCCATGACTTCCCAGTATTCTCAGAATATAAACAACTCTTTAGATGATCTGGATTTTTTTCCATCTTCTGCAATCACACCTTTTGCTATTCCCTCTGCCTGAATCCACCCAGCTTCTCACTGCTTCCAGCTATTGATAGACCTTGCCCTTTCATTCCCTCTGCCTGGGGCATGTCCCTCCCATCTCCCACTTTAATAACTTCCCAAAGTTCCCTTCTTTCTCGGTGAAAACGTGATTTCTTTTAGAAAGACCTTCTACATACACGCCTAATTTAAAGCTGATTTATCTGAAATTCTCTCTGAGATCATTGTTTTTCATCTCTGCTTGCTTATTTCTGCCTGTAATAAAATCTAACACAATCTGAAGTTCTATTTTCATTTGAACATCTATATGATTGAGGCCTGCCTAGCCCTCTGCACTAAAAACTCTGCAAGGATCAGCAGCATCTCTGTTGCATCCCCGTGTAGTACCTGGAGTACCTGACACAGTGTTGGTGGTCAAATATTTACTAAATGTAGCTGAATGGCTGAGTGAATAAAGATTGCTTGGTGCCCAGTCAATACTCTTCATGTTCTAGAATATCTGTTAGATGAGAAATGAAGAGATTAGCATCCTATTAGCAGCCCAAAGGAATGTTAGCTTCTATTGAATAGAAATTGATGTTCTCCAGTGAATGATGAGAGACTGAAGAGTCCCATGGAACTGTGTATCATTGAAGAGTGTGCTTAATTATACCACTTTAACTTTTTCTCTAAGAGCACTCTGAATATATCACTTGTTATTCTTCATATCAATAGTTATGCTTTGAACAATTAACTGCCTTCTATAAGAGTACTTTAAAAAGTTTGTGGGAAAATGGAATTGAAAGGGAAGTTAATCTTGTTGCAAACAAATTTTGAAACACAGTCATAGTTTTTTCATAGTGCACATTTCAGAAACCTTTTGAAGACCCCATATACGCACATATTTTAAGTATCTTGCACTAAAATAAACTTACCTTTGAACTCTATCTCTCCATGATCTTTTTGAAGTGCCCTTGTAAGCCATAGGCACCAGGAATTATATAACAAAAGATGCTTGACTCTCACAGACAGACTGGTAGAAAAATTACAACTGAATTTCTGGATTTCTGACCCATATTTAATAAGAAGAAATATGTCCATCCTATTTCTTGTCTTAATTTTTCAAGTTTTTATCTCTTCCATTTGCCTTTACTTTTCTATTCATATTCATTATATTTTTACTTATGACATTCAAAATACATGAAATAATTTTGGAAACAAAATATAGAGCTGTTGCTACACAGTAAAAGAATATAAACTCAAATATAATTTTCTGAGTCCAAAGGACATATCTTTCTAATTAAAACTATAAGTTCAGGGTCGGGGTTGTAGCACAGTGGGATTGAGCTGGCATACCTTATGGGCACCGGTTCTAGTCCCAGTTGTTCCTCTTCTGATCCAGATATCTGGTGTGGCCTGAGAAAGCAGTACAAGATAGCCCAAGTCTTTGGGCCCCTGCACCCACATGGGAGACCTGGAAGAAGCTCCTGGCTCCTGGCCAGTGCAGCTCTGGCCGTTGTGGCCAGCTGGGGAGTGAACCAGCAGATGGAAAATCACTCTGTCTCTACCTCTCTCTGTAAATCCATCTTTAAAATAAATAAAATAAATCTTTATAAAAATTTTAAAAATAAAATATATCTTGAAAAAATAAAACTATATATTCAGAGTTATTATAGAAATATAATTCACTTGATATGTGAATAAAAAAGTAGTATGGGGCTGACAATGCAGTTTAAAGACAGAGAGACTACATAGAACTGTGCTATCTTAAGTCAAGTAAAAAAGTAATGAGTGTTTGGACCATTGGATAAAGGGATAGGGGTGCTGACACTTGACTAGTAAATCCAAGAGGTGGTTTAGAGAGAAACAATAGGCTTAAAGACGTATTAGATATGAGGCAGAAATCAGAGTCAACTACCACTGGTACCTCAAAAACACCTAAAAATAGTTATTCACTGAGTGAATGAATGACCAACTTAGACATATTAGAATTGAAGAGATATGGAATCCTATAAACACAGACACAATTTTGGCTTGGGACGATATCTCTGATCAAATACAAACATGAAGATCAGATTTGGGACCACCAGTGCTTCAAGTTGGTCAAGTTTCAAGCCCACTTAGACTGTACATGCTATTCCATTTTATTGGTCAAAGAAATTAAGCTTCCTCTTTTCATTCCTTGGGAACTCTACCCACTCACAACTCATTTGACCTCAGGAATGAGTGAAAAGTGAGTTTTGTATCTTAGCAATGCCTTTATCCTTTTCCTGAGAAAAACACTTGCAATCATAATTGAATAATTTCATGATTATTTTCTAATCAGTTATTTGCTAAACATTGCCTCTGCACTTACTATATACCTAGACCTGCACTTGATATTGCCTAGAAATGGATAGGGGCTGCCAAAAGAAAACCCTAAAACCTTACTGAGCCATCATAGCAGTAATCCCCTGCCCCACAACAAGGTATAAATAAGCTTCTCTGATGTATAAATCTGAAAAAAGTAATTTAGACTACTTAGAGCAGCTTTATAAGGAAAGTGAGATATCGATTTATTTTATTCTATTCATTAGCAGTTTTGTGATCACTTTAGAGCAATGACAAGTAATTCTAAATATTTTTGGTTTTAGGAGTAAAATAAGTATTTATTATTTCCTAGACTCAGAATTTATTTGCCTGTACCTGGAATGGCAGAGTAGACTTCTGCCTCAAATAAGAAGGCAAAATCTTAATTATTATTAATATGGAAATTTTTTCTAATTTGCCTTTCCTCTGAGGCTACTGACTATAGATTCAGTCTTTGAGGTAGGAAATTTCCTCCCCATCATTGACCTCAGAAATATATCACTGGGACCCTTTGGGAAAGAGTAGAATAATGACTTTGTCCCGGATCTGCTTGGTCTTTACTCCATAGACAATAGGGTTGAGTGCTGGTGGGATGATTACATAGAGGTTGGCAAACATAATGTGAAAGGTACGAGGGACATTATGCCCAAAGCGATGGGCAAGTATGGAGAAGAATGCTGGAATATAGAACATGATGATGACACAGATGTGGGAACCACAAGTGCCCAGGGCCTTCTGACGGGCATCTCGGGAGGGCAGGCGAAACACGGCACAGAGGATGAGAGTGTAGGAGATGGCAATTAAGACCACATCTGTAATCACTGTCATGATGGGAACACAGAAACCATACCAGATGTTAATGGAGATATCAGCACAAGCAAGCCGGGCAACACCTATGTGTTCACAGTATGTATGAGAGATGATATGTGTCTTGCAGAAGGGTAGACGATTCACAAGGAAAACACATGGGACGAAAACAAAGAAACTTCGTAAAGAGATTCCCACAGCAATTTTGGCAATGGTTTTGGGGGTTAGAATAGTGGTGTACCTCAATGGTGAACAGATGGCCACGTAGCGGTCAAATGCCATGGCAAGCAGTATAGCTGAGTCCAGGACAAAACTGTAGTGCAGAAAGAATAACTGGGTGAGACAGCCAGGAAAACTGATTTTCTGGGGACCTAACCAGAAGATGGTAAGGGTTTTGGGGATACATGTGGTAGACAATATGAGGTCAGTGATGGCCAACATAGAAAGAAAAAAGAACATGGGTGTATGAAGACTGTGTTCCACTGCAATGAGATAGAGAAGGATGCTATTGCCCGCAATGGCAACCATATAGATGAAACAGAAGGGGATGCTTATCCAGACATGGTACTGCTCAAGTCCAGGGATGCCTGAAAGAGTGAAGGGGCCTGTGTTGTAGCCAGTGAGGTTGTATGTAGCCATTGAGATCTGATGAACAGCTTCCGTGTCCTAGAAACAAATCATGTATGATGAACATGAGCCAATTGCATGGTGAATTTTCTTCCATCCTTCCTCCCTTTTCTCATTTTTGAAAAGAGAAACCTCTCATCACTACTGTGATCAATGCTCATCACTTCAAGAAGGACTCCCCAGACCCAGTATTCCCAGTCCTATTCATTTTATTACTCTGGAATCTTCCTCAAACCACATAAAACGTTATTCCCATTTCAGTGACTGGGTTCTCCTGCATCAACGTGATTTGCTGTTGAATGTATGTGAGTACAGATAAAATAGTCTAGCTATAGACAAGAAAAACAAACTGAGAAACGTGGGTCACAACTGAGAAAAATGAGATAATTAACTATTACAGACTACTATAACACACCCAGGTATTATGACGTCTTACTTAGACTAATCTTCTGAAATAAGTATTTTTATCTCCCTCTTTTTTCTTTTAAAGCAACAGAGACTCTGAGAAGTAATCTTACCTAAGAGTTCACGTTTAGTAACTGGCAGAGGGAAGGTCATTAAATTCCATAGCCAACAGTCTTTTTTGCTGCTGTCCCACACCAGGGGTCGTCTCAATACTCAGGTAGATTTCAGAAGCAACATGGGCCCTGCACCCCCAGGGCACCTGGCCTTCAGGCCACCTGCCCCATGCTTTCCTGGCCTGCATGCTACTCCATGTGGCTGGCTCCTGGTACTCGGTATGAAACCAGATTTATCTTTCTTTTAGAAAGACTCCCCATTCTCCTATGCATTTCTCTCACTGAATAAAAATCTTAAAACTTAAAAAAAAGAAGCAGCAGCAGCATGGAGGTATAAAGAAAGATGTAAAGGAGCAGTCACTGGAACTGTAGTTTGCCTAGAACAACCCTGCCCCAATTCCAATGACTGACCTGAGATCCTTGCGCTGTATGTAGAACCTCAGGATGTATAGACCAGAAATTTCTGTGACTGATTTTTCAAACCTCACACAGTCAGATGATATGAGAAAGAACATGAGGCTCAGGCTTCAGTTCATCCTTAGGAATAAATGAGGAAATCTCACTTAAGAATTAGAAAAATACTGTTTCAGGTGTGTTATTTATAAGTACAGAAGAGACCTCTAGTGGAAAAAATGCAATTTATATATTTTAAATCCTGGATCAAGATAAAAGCAAATAAGTTAATTTTATAACTAGAGTTCATATTTTTTGACAAATTCATTATTGTACAAAAAATAAGATCTTTACATAGGGTCACATTTGTAACTTTCTTCATAATCCTAGGAGATACATAAAATTATTACTCACATTTTGAAGATGCAAAACTGAAGCAGACATAAATTAAATAAGCTGTCAAAAAACGATGCAATGAGGAAATAGTAGAGCTAAGAATCAAACCCAAAAGTCTTTCCTTAGACTTCTGTGTACATAATCAAAATTATTTATGCAGTTAATAGACTATATGGCGGCCGGCGCTGCAGCTCACTAGGCTAATCCTCCGCCTGTGGTGCCAGCACCCCGGGTTCTAGTCCCAGTTGGGGCGCCGGATTCTGTCCCAGTTGCTCCTCTTCAGTCCAGCTCTCTGCTGTGGCCTGGGAGTGCAGTGGAGGATGGCCCAGGTCCTTGGGCCCTGCACCCTCATGGGAGACCAGGAGGAAGCACCTGGCTCCTGGCTTCGGATCCATGCCACGCGGCCATGGCGGCCATTTTGGGGGTGAACCAACAGAAGGAAGACCTTTCTCTCTCTCTCTCTCTCACTGTCTAACTCTGCTTGTCAAAAAAAATAGACTATATGGCAAATAGCACACATATGAAATCTGTGTAACAAAAGACACAAAATTAAACCAAGTAAAGAAAAATTTAAAGAACTTAACTAGTTGAAAGCATGATACCAAACATGTCACTTAAGATAATAAATGTTGCCGGCACTGTGGCTCAGCGGGTTGACGCAGTGCCAGCATCCCATATGGGCGCCGGTTCTAGTCCCGGCTGCTCCACTTCCCATCCAGCTCTGGGATAACAGTAGAAGATGGCCCAGGTCCTGGGGCCCCTGCACCCACGTGGGAGACCCGGAAGAAGCTCCTGGCTCCTGGCTTCGGATCGGCACAGCTCCGGGTGTTACAGCCATCTGGAGAGTGAACCAGCGGATGGAAGACCTCTCTCTCTCTCCCTCTCCTCTTTCTGTGTAACTCTGACTTTCAAATAAATAAATAAATAAATATTTTTTAAAAATTAAAAAATAAAAAAGATAATAAACGTAGATTATTTCAACTCTGGTATTAACAAGCTAAGATATCAATAAAATTTTAAAGATAAAATCTAATTTTATATTGCTCATTTTAAAAAGGCCTAGCTAAGGCCGGCGCCGCGGCTCACTAGGCTAATCCTCCGCCTAGCGGCGCCAGCACACCGGGTTCTAGTCCCGGTCGGGGCGCCGGATTCTGTCCCGGTTGCCCCTCTTCCAGGCCAGCTCTCTGCTGTGGCCAGGGAGTGCAGTGGAGGATGGCCCAGGTGCTTGGGCCCTGCACCCCATGGGAGACCAGGAAAAGCACCTGGCTCCTGGCTCCTGCCATCGGATCAGCGCGGTGTGCCGGCCGCAGCGCGCCAGCCGCGGCGGCCATTGGAGGGTGAACCAACGGCAAAGGAAGACCTTTCTCTCTGTCTCTCTCTCTCACTGTCCACTCTGCCTGTCAAAAAAAAAAAAAAAAAAGGCCTAGCTAAAATCACCCAGAAAGCATAAAATAAAGGAATAAATAAGAATACTTCAGACAAATTTAAATGCAATGGAAGCAGGCCGAGTAAAATGGAAATCAGAAAAAATAAAATTTGGGGCAGGTGCTGTGGCACAATGGGTTAATACCCTGGACTGAAGTGCAAGCATCCCGTATAGGCACCCGTTCTAGTCCCGGCTGCTCCTCTTCCGATCCAGTCTCTGCTATGGCCTGGGATAGCAATGGAAGATGGCCCAAGTCCTTGGGCCCCTGCACCCACATGGAAGACCCGGAAGAAGCTCCTGGCTCCTGGCTTCGGATCGGCACAGCTCCAGGTGTTGCAGCCATCTGGGGAGTGACCCAGCGTATGGAAGACCAACTTTTCTCTTTCTCTCTCTCTCTCTCTCTCTCTCTCTCTCTCTCTGTAACTCTACCTCTCAAATAAATAAAAATAAAAAATCTTTAAACAAAAGAAAAAATAAAATTTATTTTAGTAGTCTTTAACCAGAGCAAAATTTACCTTGCACTGTTAAAAGGTACACTCCTCAATGAAGGTTTAAGTCATGACACTTGCCAACATTTCTTCTTAGCAATCTAGTGTTTAAAATAAGTAGGTAAACCATGTTCTTTAGTAACAATCTATTCATTCACCACTCTGTGTCTGTTTCCTTGCTATATTCCACAGTTCTTCTTGTAATTTTTCATCATTCTTTTAAGATAGATGTCTCACTATTAACTACAAGAAGTTTCACATTCTTGTGACTCACCAATCCAAAACTTTATCCTCAAAGGATAACTTTATATTGTTACTGAAGCACAAGCACCCAATTCTAGGGCCCTATCATTTAAAAAAATTATTTCCTATTTATTTACTTCAAAGGGAGAGCAAAAGGGTATATGGTAGGAGGTAGACACACACACACACACAGAGCAAGAGTGAGAGTGAGAGCGAGTGAGCAAGTGAGCAAGTGAGTGAGAGAGACTCTTCCCTCCTTTGATTCATTCCCTAAATGGTCACAACAGTCATGGCTGGGTCACCCTGAAGCCAGGACCTATAAACTTCATCCAGGTCTCCCTAATGGGTGGCAGGATCCCAAGTACTTGGGGCATCTTCTACTACTTTCCTAGGCACATTAGCAGGGAGCTGGACAGGAAGCAGACTAGTCAGTCAAATCAGCACTCTAACACGGAATGCCAATGTGACAAGTGGAGGCTAAACCCACTGCACCACAATACTGGTCCCCAGGGCTCTATCTTTGAAGCACTGTAATCCAAAATTAGTTGATCCCATAAATCACAAATTTAGGCATTCCACTTGTATCTGTTTGGTTATATGACTCAGTTATTATCAATTTACTCTTCAGAACACTTGAAACTTCTACCAGAGTAATTGTCTCTTACCATTCATGCAGTGTCCAGATATCTTTTCATTCTCCTCTATGGAGTCTGAATTCTGAAATTCATCATTCCAACCATTCTCTTATCAGTATTTTGTTTACCATCACTTCATTGACCCCCAAATTGAATTCCTAGATTAATCAGTCTAATTAGTACTCAGTCATGGGAAAAAGAAAAATTTTTGACTTTTTACTTCATGATCTTATAAAAAACTTTCCATATTCTCCTCCCCTCATTTTCCCTATTAACATTTCAGGTGAGTGTCTTTATATTTTCATATTTTCATGATCATCAGCCTTAAACTTAACCATAGACACTATCAAATGATCCAACTGTGTGATCTTGT